GATGAATAAGTGGATCACGGAGAAGATGCCGATGAAAGATAAATGTTGGGAAGCGCCAGGTAGCAATCAGGCGGTGAACAAACGAAAAGTAAACGTTGCTGATATGCAAGGAATATTTTTCGTATTATTCATAGGTAAGATATTTATCTTTCTTGGTGTGCCAAGATGGTGATTAAAGTCTTATCTTTTTTAATAAGAAAGATTTTGTCATCGTTTCAGGTATCACGTTGGCTTTCCTCTTTCTTTTTTGCGAGTTCTATTGTCATAGGCGTAAGATAGCCAAGGAACGCAAATTGATTCATCCCTTTGTTTCTTAAATTTTATTTTAAGACACGTACAATTAAGTTAAATTATTTTTCTTCATCTCACAAGAAGATTCCATACGATCATGGGATTTCTCCTCGAAAATATAAACCAGTCCCACGCAATGCGTTCAATTGCACGTATTATCACTCTTTTTGCTTTCAATTTCTACTCTTTTTCCCCGATAATTACCATTTCGCTTTTTTTTCATCGCTTAATCGACAAAAAACATGGTACCAATCTACACGACCAGAACTCCTGAAATTCTTGCTCAATCCTCCATTTTCTTGAAATTCTATTTCTTGATCGAGTCGAGAAACAATCGTTGACGTTAAACGAGACCATAAATTGTTCATCCATAACTATTGATCCATTTCCATAATTGATATACAGAAATCAAACTTATCGTATTTTATTTTATCGTAACTAACTCATTCGATATGAGAGACGTTGGATATTTTTACTTCCATATTGCAAAATGAAAAATTTCCAAAGAAGTAAAGACGATCGGTTTGATATCCCTTAATTCTAAAAAATCAAATATCGATTCATGTTACCGATTTTAAAATGGAATTGGTAATTCATTCGGTAATTCAATTCACGCGCAAGGCAGACGTGTAATAATTCTCGCCAATAAAATGGCGACCAATGGCCCGAGGACGTTTACAATTACCAACACGAACGTCTAATTTGCGGATAATGGACGGCACCGGATATTGCGTGGATATCCACGCAACGTCGAAAACGTTCGATCCTTTCCATGACCGATGTCCGAGGCATCCTTTTCCATCTCGTTAGTTGCACGAGAGTCGTGGCGATGTTTCGTGAATAATTTTTTCCGTGAGATTAATCTTAAGAATATTGTATTATTGTACTTAATAATAATTAACAATAAGTGCAAAATTATTATAAGACGAGACTATTGTATCAATAGTCTCGTCGATCGTGAGCAATAAAAATTCGTTTGGAGAAGAGTAACAGAGATTGTTCATTTACCCGTAAAATTTTTGAGATATTGCGCAATGTACGGGCGCGATTACGAAAAATTTGTCGGGTAAGAAGATTGACAGAAGGATGCTCCTCGCGACAGGTACGCTCCACGTACTTTCGTTCATTGTTTTCGTTAAGCCGTTAATTTCGTTAATTTCGCCGGAAGAGTTTGCACTTAACAAGGTTTATTACATTGTGAACGACCGCAACATTGAGCAAGACTTATGACGCGTATGATTCAGTTGCTCCCTGTTACGTTACGCTGTGGAAGTTGCCACAACTAGTTACTTTATTAAGATCATGCTCGTAAAAGAATGGAGATTTGTAAGTGTGCGAAAGTGAAGAAAGGTCGGTTTACGAGTTTACCTACATCTCCGAAGTGTTCGTTCGTTATCTTCCATGATAAAAATTCATTCGTTCTTTCTCAGTGAATCAATTTTCATGAATTTTAAATTCAATTTCTTAACATCTACAAACTCTTTACCTTTACAACAATCGAACATTGCGAAAGAATATCGCTATACGAATTTCCACTATCGTAACTTTTATTCATTTTATTTTTTCTAAAATAGCGATGGATCGTGGTTTATACATTTTAACGATATTCTTTTATCATTTATAAAACTTCATAAATCGTCTATTCTTAGAATATCATGTTTTTCAAACTTATTATCATTCCATTTTTCAAAACTCTAATCTTTGGACAGAATCGATTTCTTTACGGAGAATCATGTCAAATTTCGTAAAAGGATATCAGAATACAGCAACCACAAACATTATTGAAAATTTAAAAGAAAGTTACGTTCCAATATCGACGAGGAACTAAATCAAACCGCATATTATTTCTCAAAATATAATACTCTTTTGCGAGTGGCAAACGGACGGGTCGAGGATCCACAAATCCAAATCCTTAAAATCTCTCGAGAAAAAGAACGAGCTAGCTTTCGCATTCAACAAATCCACCACGATACCTCTGAATAATTCGCCTGCTCCTCCGCCTGCTTCTCCTCCTACTATACCACATCCTCTGGGGGAAGCTGGAACCCCGTCTCCCGGTTTCTCGAGGAGGAGAGGGAAGGGCGGGCGCGCGATATGACGGCGTACATAGACACGGGTTTATCTACCTGACGACCTTGCCGTTTAAAAAATCCCAGAGTGGCCGGCAGAGAGGCTCGAGCGGGCG